GATTGGGTAGGAAGTTAATTCAGTGGCATCTCTACAAACACAAGAACAGGCTGGTGTATCAGTCGTTGTTAAATGTTGCCGAGACGTGTCAAAACGGGGCTTCTAAAACTTCTGTAAAATCAGGCTTTGGTGCAACAGTGAGATTTCGAGCTTAACCCAGTTTTGGGGAGGTTGATGTGACGAGGTGAAACGAGTGCATGGGTTGATAAATTGTCCCCAACAAAAGCTAAATGAGGAAGACTACCTTTAAGCTCACTCCTAATCCGGGAAAGGTGTGTTTGTTGAAGAGATTCGAAGGTCGATTTCGCCAAATGACGGCGGATTGCTGTCGGTTGGCTGTACCCGAATATTCTGGTGGGCACTGTCCTCAAGACGATCTTTCTCGTTTTAAGGCGAGGAAGCATTAATAGTTGAATTGTCCCACAATCAACTCACTTGGTTCTACGCTTCCATCTGACTTCAAATAAACTCGCTTCTCAAAAGGTATTTTCATACTTTTTATAATCAAAATATACTGGCAATCCTAAGATCTACTTAAAAAATGAAAATAAGTAGTATACTCTATTGTAATATCAAATAAAACTTGGACACATTAACAATCTCACTTCCAATCCGGGAAAAGTGTGTTTGTTGAATGAATTCGAAGATCGATTTCGCCAAATGACGGCGGATTGCTGTCGGTTGGCTGTACCCAAATAGTATGGTTGACACTGTCGTCAAGACGATCTTGCTCGTTTTAAGGCGAGGAAGCATTAAAAGTTTAATTGTCCCACAATCAACTCACTTGGTTCTACGCTTCCATTTGACTTTAAATAAACTCGCTTCTCAAAAGGTATTTTCATACTTTTCATACTTTTCATACTTTTCATACTTTTTATAATCAAAATATACTGGTAATCTCTAAGATCTACTTAAAAAATGAAAATAAGTAGTATCCTCTATTGTAATAGCAAATACAACTTTGTCACATTAACAATCTCACCACAGAAATGTGATATGGGAAAGGCCTAGCCATATTGGAATTCACATATGCCTTGCACCACCTTAAACGAAATAGGGTGAGTACAGGTAATATCTTGCCTTAATGTCAATTTGGAGTATTTGTTATAACGAGTTCCGACGAATACTCGTTGTTTGGATCACCCTTTATTCGGTTTCAAGGCCAAATGGTCATCGTTTTCTGTTCAGATCCAGCCACGAATCGCTTCATCAGACACACCTTCACACGAAATGGAAAACCTCCACACAAGTGTTATCTGTATAGATTCATCAAGACCTAGCAACTGTTCATAGTCCCACTAGATCTTATCTGATCTCTTCATTTCGCCTCGCCGGTAGGATCACTCCGCCTGGTCGCTACTCGCTGACCAACTCGCGAGCTCGAACGTCGACGATGACGACGAGTCTGTCCTGCTCGTCTGCTCCAGCCTGGCCCAGCCGACGCCGTCGGACGGACCGGCATCGGCGGGCCAGCAGACCTCTCGAGTCTCGAGGGGACCGGAGAGTCGAGCCAGTGGCCAAACGGAATCCACGAGGCTGGCCAGATTGGCGCTGCGCCCGGCCGTCTTCCGGCCGACCGGACCATTGCTCGGCGAACTCATCCGGTCGGTCGCGATGACGACGCCGAATGAGGCGACCGGCGAATACGAGACGGCGGCAGTCGCGACGCAGGACGGAGGGTCTGCCAGGCGAGGATCGCTGGCGTCTAACAGGTACACGATTTGGCCCAAAAAGGTCTGTTCTGACGCCGATATTCGCATAACTTCTTCCCGAAAATGATGTCTTGTGCTTGAATTCATAATCAGGCTTCCAGTTGTCGACGCTTTCCTCTTCGCTGCGTCTCGATAGCAACAAACAGCCTTCAATTAAGAGCTTAATTCGTTAGTCGGATGGGTAGGTCTCACATGCTGCGAGTGAATTTCACTTTTTCTTGAATATATGAAGACCAAGATGTTGTGTTCTCTGGTATCGTCGCAGTCTGCTTTCGATTTATAGAAGTGGGTTGACCTCGTTGTCGCAACTTGGTCTTCTGTTCAGGGGGACTATGTAGAACGCACCGAGTCCGAAGTTGTCTGCCATAGTAGTTGTCATGATTCCCAGCATCTGGCACTGGACTTGATACATTCTCAAACGTTTCGCGGGCATCGTAGTCGGCATCATCAGTGAGTTTTGCCATTCTC